GCGCACGCGGCCAGGGCGCCTGGCCGGGAGGGGACTGGCCGGCTCCTCCGCGCCACGCACGAAACTCCGGAGCCGCGTGCTGTGTCCGGGAGCTGCGTGCTGCACGCGGACCTGGCGGCCCCGGAGACCCCGGCACCCTGTCCGAAAGGGTGTTAATCCTTCCATACCCCGCACCCTACTCCCCGCCCATCCCGGGCAGTACCGCCTCGCTATACCCGCCGGCTCAGCCGACTCAGAGCCCAAGTGCCAGCTGGCTATTTGAGACCAAAGCGATCCCAACCAAGGAGCCTTAGTGGGCAGCGAGTTTAGTGAACAAGTCAGAAAAGGAGGATGGTCCCACCACCACGGGGCAACAAGGCAAGCCATGTTGTTAAATTGTTCGTTCAGTAAATGTGGAGATGGTGCAGGTTTCGTTGTGTGTATTTTAGACAACAACTGAAGCAATATAATGTTGAGTAGCAGAAACTCTCTAAACTCTATAAATGTACAGAAATTATGGTAGTTTTAGAACAGAGTTCAGGTCTTTTGTGCAAAACTTCCTCCCAGTGGTATTCGACCTGATGACTCTTAACCACTGCTAAATGAGACTAGTGCTGTTACATCTGGGGGAACACTCTTCCACTTTGTACGTCACTCTTTGTCACTGTGCCATAGGAAGTAACCTGAGTCGCCGTAATGCTGAACCTTGTACCATTGGGGTATCAAATACCAGAATGGTTTTCCCAGTGTGGACAGTATTTGGTGGAGCTCACAGTTATAAAACTGGGAAGCAGGAGTGGCATCCACTTCCTAAACCATGTGCCTCTGGAAACTATGAACTTGGAGAAATGACGATGGTTATGGAAAGGCTTAGGTCTTTTGTTCATAGAGTCACTATGAGTTGCACTCAACTCAATGGCAATTAACAACGGCAGAAAAATAGCAGTCGGGTGCCCCGGGCTGGGTGGTGATCAGAGAGGGCCTACCTCAGGCCTGGGCTTCAGCGGCCTTTCCCCCAGATTCACACCCACAGCCACGTTCTGGAGAGCAGCCTGCAGGCCTCTCTGAGGGAGCCCCAGAGAACAAGGTGGAGAGGGGGATGCAAACAGGCTGGGAAGGATGCGTCAGGGAGACTGTGCTGCACTCGCCCTAGGAAAGAACAGAGACAGGAGGGTTGAAGAGTGAGACCAGTCAGAGGCCAGTGAGCAGCTGGTCCTTCCGCCTCTGAGGCCTCCACACCCAGGCTTAGCATCCTAGACTGGAATAGAAAGTAGACATACTCTTCTATCCTGTCGTGGGCTCCCAACTCCTGCTCCAGCAGGCTGGGCCTAGGGCAGCAAGCAGGGAGAGTGCTTGGGGGAGCACCAGTGGGCAGGGATTAGCTGAGAAGCAGTCTCTGGGGTTCCTTTGCAGCTCTTATGACCTTGTCTGAGGAGATCAGGGCCATCCAAGACCAACCTCTCTCTCCGCAGTGCCAGGAAGAGCCAGGCCCAGCTTGCCTTTTCTCTGCCCCAGAAAGCAGCTTAGAGAAATGGTTGGTCACACCAGAGATATGGAAGATGTGTGTGTGAAGTGTGGATACCCTGGGGGGGGGCTCCGGGGGAGCTCCCCACTGCGGCCCCTCTTCTGCTTTGCATGCCCATGTGTTTTGCTGTCTGAGGGTCTCTCTGGGAGCAGCCAGGTTCAAGGGATTGCAGCCTTCCACATCTGTTCAAAGATGGCAGCATCCTTGTGTGTATGAGTGTGTGCACATGCATGTGGACGTGAACAGGCAGGTGTGTGGACAGCGTGGCCCGAGCCTCACAAGGCAGGGATCAGCAGTTAGCCAACAGATTCATGACAGGACCCAGCAAAGGGGAAGAGCAAAAGGGTGGGGATGGCCCCTTGGGTGAATAGGAGGGAAGGGAACCCAAGCCCTAAGGTGATTTGGGTGGGAGCAGGTGGGAGGGTGGCTACCTGCAGGTAAGTGACAGGGTTGTGCAGAAGGGCACTCTTTGGGCTATTGGAGTGCGTGGGGAGTGACCAAGAAGGTCTCTGTAATCTGAGGAAGTCTTTCAACAAGGATGTTGTGCAATGTGACTGGATCAGTGGGCATCTCGCAGCTGGAGAGGAGGGCTCAGGACAGTCCTTAGGGTTCACTATTATAGTGGATTGAATGACACCTAACAATGGGGTCACTGGAGCCCCTGAGGAGAAGGTCACACAGGACTGAGATGCACAGACTTGAGACCTGTTCTAGACTGGAGCAGCATAGCCAGAGGTCTTTTGGAGGCCTATCAGGTCCTGGCCTTTAGGGGTACAGCTGAACTCTCCACCACACCCTCTCCACATGCCAGGGTGCTCCCCAGCCTGGTTCCCCATTCCCTGCTTTTGCTGACCTAATTGTGCCAAGATACTGCTCAAGTGTGAATCTCTTCTAGATTGAGTTTTTTAAAATGCTGAACAGAAACCTAGCTGATGCCTCTCCTTCCTAGCGGCCCCTGCCGCAGAGACACAGGTTTCTGTTCAAACAGAATGGCTTTATTTCCCCCATTTGAATTGTTCCTGAATGACATCTCTGGCCAGTGTCCCTTTGGACATCCTCTTCTGGGGTCTGCAGGCCCACATCGGGGGCATGTTGCTGGCGCCTCTACAGGGAGAATCAGTTGATGTCCCAGGCCCGGCTGTGCTGACACGCACAGGAATCTCGCCTTCTCCTTCCTCCCACGCCTGTCCTTGGCCTTTCTTGTGTTTGTTGTATTGTTGTGTGACTAGGTCTTCTGCAGGAAAGAGAAGCTTTTTCTTGTCCCCAAAGGCTGGGGATAAGGTTGGGGGTCAAGTAGGGCTTCTGGACCCCAAGCAGCAGCCAGTATGGAGGAAGGAGGCTGAGATTCTCCCTGGAGGCTGCATGAACCACAGATTCTCTTACCCCAGGCTCCCCTGAGCAGCGTCCTGTTCCACTGGGGGCACACTGCCCCAGGAGGCTAGTTGTGTAGGGTCCCCAGGCTCCTGCCTGTCTCCCTCCCTCCTGGGCAGTCACACCTTTCTGTCAGATCTGAAGACATGATGGGTGCACCTGTGCCTAGGTACAGCCACTTGGGCTGGGGCCTATGTGGTCAGCCCTTGCTGGCGAGAGGCAGCCAGAGAAGATAGATGGAGAGAAAGAGACAGAGACAGAGAGAGATGGGAGAGAAAGAGAAGGGGAAAGGAGTATGGAAGAGAGGGACAGGCACAAAGAAAGACAGGAAGAGGTGCAGGGGGAAGATATGAAAGCGAGAGACAATGCCCAGCGTTGCCTTTTTTCAGAAAGCAAGTAAGAAATCTAGATTTGGGGGTCGTGAAGGGGCAATCCCTGCCGGTAGGGGGCAGGGCAGAGAGGCCTCTGCTGCTTCCTTTCAGCATCTCCCGCCTGGCCTCCACTCCAGTGTAGACAAAATCCGCGCTTCCGACCTGATCCCTCAGACCGCAGCAACCAAGGACGAGCTGGACGTCCTGAGGTCAGTGGCCCTGAGGGCCTGCATGGGGTCCCCAGATTAGGGGCTCCTTGCAGAGCGGGAGGGTCCTGGACACACTGGCTGAAGCCTCGAGGACTCCCAGGCTGCAGGTGGACATCTGGCTGGTTCTAGGTTTACAGCAGGAAGGATGGAGAGGCCCCCCCCCAGAAGAGAAAGGTGCCCACCCCCTTTCAGAGGTCCTTTTAGACTGGATCTCCCAAGTCTTTCCTGGAATCAGTTCAAGTTGGGGCGCGGACAGTCTTCTCTTTTCAATTTTGCCGGTGCCACTGGCCACCCTATGCTTCCAGTCCCTCATTCCTGTGTGGGTTGCTTTTAATCCCATCAGAGGGCACTCTTCAGCCTTGTCCCCCAGTCCTGGCTTTTGTCTTGGGGACGCTGGGTCTTCCAGGGAAAAACAGTGCTCTCTCTCCACCTCTTTCCCTCGGAGTTCTCTCTGCCCAGGAGGAGGGAACTAAATGCCAGTCTGCTGCTGTTGGAGTTGGATATGTGCGGTCCTGGACCGGGTGGCCGGGAAGTGCAGGTGTGTATGTGCGGGCTGGGGTTTGAGTCAGAGCTGGGGCAGGGGCAGCCAGCCCTGGTCCTGCCCAGCCATCATCCAGCCTGGTGACCCCACAGCCCATCACCGTGGGGAACCTGGTGGTTCCGGTCCCAAGTGCGTCTTTGTCTGCACCCCTCAGCATGTTCTGGGGAGCACAGCTGGTTGATTTTGGAGATAGGATTCCAGACCCAATTTCGACCTTTTCTCTCTCGCTGGAGCTGGGGCTGGGGCTGTGCTGTCTCACCTGTGTCGGGCTGGTAGATCTTGGGGCTGATGAGGCTGCCTCCAGGGGCTCCCTTCTTCTCTTTGCACTCTCTCTGCCTCCTCTGCTCTGCCTCTCCACCTGCCTTCTCTCTTCAGCACCCTGCACCCCACTTTCTTTGAGCATCTTCTCAGCCCACTACGGGAGCCCTGGGGCTGAAAGATTAGGAGGCCAGGGTTTCTTTACACAGCTCCTGCATTCTGTCTGTATCAGCTTCCATTTTCTGTCTGCTTCAAGTCACCAGCTCATCTCTTTCGCTAGTATTTGAACCCCACTCAGACATCCCTGAGGTAAGCTTGCCCTCAGGCCTGAAATCCTAGTCCCTGGCTATGACTCCCCTCCCCTGTCACGATCTGAGAGCTTGGGGGGGGTGAGAACTCTTCAGGCCCCTCCCCTCGCTTCTCCCAAAGGCAGCCTACGGGGAACAGGAGACTCAGAAGACAACAATAACTCCCTCTTCCTTTTCAAGTCTCCTTCCCCATGCCCCAGCCAAACGGCCCTGTCCTGACGTATTAGAGGCCCACATTAGGAGACCCGCTCCTGTCTCCAGGTGAGGAGGGAAGACATTTGAAAAGACAGGATTCTGTTGGGATTTTCAAAATGTGTATTACTGTTTCTTGTGAAGAATGTATTCCTTTTTTGAAGAAGGATAGCAACAGTAAGACAAAGGAAGGGCGTCTTCAATAACGGGGTGCCAGGCAGGCTGGACGCAGGAGAAGTGGCAGGGTCAAAGCTATGTCAGGTGTGGCTTCTGAAGCATCTCCTGGCCCAGCGCTCCAGGATCACAGTCACGATCACAGTCACGGCCAGCCGTGCAGCCCAGGGCTGCAGCCCCTCAGCAGCTTAATCGTGTTGACCGTTTGTTTTCTAAGCATGAAGTCCTTTTTTGTAG